AACATTGATAGTTAATAAAACGGTAGTATGTGATTTACCACTTCCTCCGTGTATCCTAAAAGTTAAAAATGATGTTATTCGAAAAACTAGAAGCGCAAGCCAAGGAAAAGATGGGACTTGTTCAAATTCTACGTCATGTTTTTTCCCAGCAACTATTATAATATTTTGTTATACAGAAAAACTCACTGGTTCGCATATTTTGTTCCTCGCTTGACTAGCACCACTTTTCGTCCAGAATCGTCATCAAAACCAGATTTGCCTGCATTGAAGATGTTACTTGGCTTGCCCAATAAATCCAACTTTTTTAATACGGAATATAAGTTTGTGAACCGCCCGTCAACTACTTCTTGTGTTATACCTGCCATTGATTTCTCCAAACGAATGCTCTTTATTAATTTAAATTTATGGCGCCATCGTTTGAGAAATCGATAATACCATTCTTTTTTAGGTGCATCGAATTGAAACTGTGATTGTAAATTCATTAGCTGAACGTATTCAGTGGCATACTTCATCACATCTTGAAAACAACATAACTCTCCCCAACTTTACAATGTTTCAATCAGATTCATTAGATACGCTTCTTCATCATGTGTTAATGCTGTTGGACGTCCAACTTGATTTAATGAACCTTGTGATATGCGAGCAGACAATGCACCTTTGGAAAACTTAGTAATTGCTGAAGTTTGTTTGTATGTCCATTCACCACTTTTGATCTTCAAAATGGCATTCAGCATCTCTTCTTCATTGTACGCTGGTGAGCATCGCTTACGAATGTAATTATGCGCCATCACAATTTATTTTCAACAAACAGAAATGTTGTAACGTTGGTAGTTGTGAAATTATTCAAGGCAAAGCAAAGGAATAAACACATATGGTATAACGAATTTTTTTCTTTTCTGTTCGTCAAGTATTATAAGAGAATTTGACTAGTCAATGAATTTTGAATATACAAGTTCAATATAACGAGAAAAGAAATTAATCGGTACTTCTACACGTTTTTTTAACGTTTATATCACAATAGAAAATTCTGCCCTATAAATCAAATATTCAAAAATTTATTTGTTGTTAATATTTATTATGAACGCGAAAAAAAGTGATAATTGATCTACATTAGTAAAAATTAATATTTTATATATTTTGATCACAAGAAATTTTGAAGATCACCTACAGATTTATCAAAAACT